CCTGGTGCGGCCGCGGCTGGTCAGTTTCAGCAGCGGGTGAATCAGGACTCCTGGGGCAGAGCAGATGGGGTGTTGCTGGGTTGGTCCAGTAGTGCCGAGGAGCGGCGCTACTGGAGCAACCCAGCAGCACCCCAGCTCTCCGCCCCGGGGCGCCCCCAAGCCAGCCGCTGCTGAAACTGACCAGCGCTGACTACAGGAAGCCCGAGGCAGAGTTGCCCTGCCCCAGGCTTCCTGGAATCAGCTGCTGATCAGTTTCAGCAGCAGCTGACTTGGGGAACGCTTGGGGTTCTTAAGTTGATTCTGTATGTAAGTCAGAACTGGCGGTCAGTTTGAGCAGCGGCTGAATCTGGACGCCAGTTCCGACTTACATACAGATTCAACTTAAGAACAAACCTATAGTCCCTATCTTGTACGTAACCCGGGGACTGCCTGTATTGTAGTCGATAGTGTTAAAGTACTTTGTAGTCGATAGTGTTAAAGGCTGCAGAGTCGTTCAGTCTGACCATGGAGATCATACCTGTCAGGAAGTTACCATTTTGTGTCACCAGAACCATCTTTGTACTGTGCCCTCATCTAAATCCTAATTGTGAGATATAAAGGATATCAGCTGATACCACATAATGTATGAGTTTGCTGAGTACTGCTGTATCATTTTTTTTCAGGAATGGGAGTCTGGAGATGGGAAGGTAATTAAAGTGGCCTTTTGCCTCAAATATTGGCTTCTTGAGGTAGGATGAATTATCATGCTGTTTTTAGGGAGCTTTGTAGGTGTATATTAATCAATAATCTCAGAAGCACCCATTGAATATTTCCATTAACAATAGCCACCACTGTTCTTCTATGGCTTTTACCAGAAAAAGGGACATAGCTGTTCTTCAGTTCAGCTGACTGAGGGTACTTCTACACTGCAGGCTTATTTTGAAATAAGCTATTCCGGAATAGTCATTCTGAAATAGTTTATTTTGAAATAGCACATCTATACTGCAGGGCCCTAATATAGATGTGCTATCTTGATATTGAGCCCCAGGAAGGACTGGGGTGGAATAACTTAGAATGGCCCTGGTGAGGGGCTATTTTGAAATAGCAGCAGTGGAGCATCTCCACAGGCCTTATTTCAAAATAGCTATTTTGGAATAGGTGTTATTCGTCATGTAATGAGGTTTACAGATTTCGGAATAAGCTGTCCGTTATTTCAAAATTATTTCAATATAACAAAATGGCTGAACCTGATCTACAGACACTGCCATCATTAATAATGTATTTGATTCCTTTCCTTTCCTTTCCTTTCCTTTCGTCAGAATTTTACTACAGGAATTGCACACAGCATTATATTTTGCAAGATCTAAAACAAATATAGTAACCTAGAGGAAGGACTGATACTTGGTGTTTAAAAGAACATAATGTACAGTAATCTTCACTGGTCTGGCATCTGATTGTCCAGCACTCCTGATGGTCTGGCACCATCAGGAACCCAGAAGTGCTCCGGGCAGCCGGACCATTGGAGCTCCTCTGTCCCTGGCTTCCCTGATTCAGCAGCTACTGAAACTGACCAGAGTCCCCGGGTTACATACAAGATAAGAACTGTAGGTTTGTACTTACGTTGAATTTGTACTTAAGTCGGAACTGGCGTCCAGATTCAGCCGCTGCTGAAACTGATCAGCGCTGACTACAGGAAGCCCGAGGCAGAGTTGCTCTGCCCCGGGCTTCCTGGAATCAGCCGCTGATCGGTTTCAGCAGCAGCTGACTTGGGGACACCTGGGGAAGAGCAGCTGGGGTGCTGCCGAGGAGCGGCACTACTAGACCAACCCGGCAGCACCTCAGCTGCTCTGCCCCAGGCATCCTGATTCAGCCACTGCTGAAACTGACCAGCAGGGGCTGAATTGGGGACTCCTGAGGCAGAGCCGACTATCGGAAGGGGGACTATGAGAGGTCTGGGGTGGCATCCCCCCACCCCTCATAGCCCCCCCTTCTGATAGTCCGGCATCTCTGATAATCCAGCACCCCTTGAGCCCTAAAGGTGCCAGATTATCAGAAGTTTACTGTATAATGAATTTAGTTTTCGGTAACCTCTCATCATAAAGACCAGCTGTGGTGTCAGAGGATGTGTGACCAGCGGTGACCAGTCCTAAATTTGGAATTCTCCCTTGTGACCCACATCAGGCATGGTCACAGTATCCATAAGTGGAACAATTTCTATATCAGAAGACAATGGGATGGTTACTCTCTTCCTTCTGCTCTGCATTTACCTGTGAAGAAAGAAAGTGCTATTAAAGGTTCCTGGCTTGTGCTGGGAGTAGTTGAGCTCCTGTGATACCAGATGACAGGGGGAAGGGCATGTGCAGAGAGACTAATTCAGTACAAACCCAGAATTTATCTATTAGTCCATTAATTGATTAGAAATTCACTAACATTAATTAAGAAATAAGTTTGGTTATGGCTATTTTGGTTCCAAGGCCAATGATAAACTACCATGGTATGAAGCAGAACTGCATTTGCCTCACTAAAATCCAGACATGATGCATAAGAAACACAATGCTCTTAAAACACTATTCAGCTATCAGTTATTGTTAAGAGGCTGCATACTAGTTTTATGGAAAGCACATAGATAAGATGGCATCACAAACATCTATTTTTATTTTTCATGCAAAAAATACATCAGTATACATTTCTACAGGCTCAGTATAAATTAATACTGTGACACTCCAAATAACTAGAGTTCCTCCACATTTATTCAGGAAAATCATTAATCAAAGTTTACACAGTATAATACTGTAAGTAAAAGTCAATAACTGGCAACCCATTCTGAAGACAACAGTCTAGCTGGTCAAAATTACTCATGACAGTGCTCATCTCCCACTAGTATTTATATGTGACCAAGATTAATTATACCATTTAACACAGGTTCATTAGTATAATATATTATATTATTTCCTTATTCTTAGTCCCTAATATGCCTGATCCAGATAAAATACTAAGTAATAAAAAAAAAGTTCATTCCTATTTGATGGCTTTATTAGTGACAGTTCAGCAACCTTAGTACAATTCCATTCATTACATAGGGAGTTACCCCTGTAGCATTAGCAATGCATGTACCTATAATGTAATATAATGTCACAGGCAATGTGTTTTTTTAAATTTTGCCTTTCATCAGGCCGCAAAACATTCAGTTACTTTGGTTCACTTTGGCTACCAGTACTATGCTGCATCATGGGGCTTTGGGATTAGATTGATTAACAAAATGAAGCTTCATAGCCATTTTAAATTTATTCCTCTTCTTTAATTGAACAAATTTTCAATGTTGTGTCTTTGTGTGAATTTTTAAAGAATGGGCAAACCTCTCCTGAGAATGAACAATCGCTAAATGTGAACAACACAGACATGTCAGTTACATTGTAAAAGGTCACTTGCCTCTCTTGGTAACTAAGGTAAACTCCAATTTTCTTGGAATTTTTCTGTACCATGACCCTGGTCCATGGATCAGTTTTGGCCCAATAATCTCGCCCACTGAAACCCAGAACCCAGAATCCCTCTTTAGGGGACAGGGACAGTTTCCCTTTTCTCTCTATGGATTTTCTGGCCACCCCTAGGTCCCAGTCAGTGCTGCTCTCGACATCCACCTCCCAGTAGTGCTTCCCAGAGTAGAATCCTTGAGAGCCACAGAAAGTTGAATCAAACCTCTCTCGGGTTTGTGGAACTTTTTGAGGTTGGTTTTCATGTTTCAATCTCTTCTTATCCCCAGCAATGGAGAGGTTGGGGTGGGCCGTGTCTGCAGCAAGGGTGATGTCATCTGCAAAGAGAGATTGGGTTTTCAAAAGCTCTGGTCTCATGTCAGTCTGAGCTGTTATAAAGTGATATTGACAGGAGGGCATTATTCTGCTCTCCTGTCTAGATGAAAGTTTTGTGGGACAATTTTTTTTCTTTTATTGGAATATGAAAGTTATGTGAAGCTCACACAAACTGTAACTGCTTCTGAATTATTTGATGGCAGAGAGAAGAGGGATATAGACATCGAGAGTTCAGCATCAAGAGACATTGGCATTCACAAAATGCCTTCTAATGCTTTAGGACAGTAGTGGGGAGCCTAAGGCCCAGGGGCTGGATGCAGCCTCTGGCTTGCCTGGATCTGGTCCTTGAGGCTCAGAGTTCCCCCCAGCATTGGGAAGCCCATGCTGGTGAGGGGTGGGGTTTTTTTTCCCATTGTGGGTAGCCCTCATCTGATTTTTCTGGGAGTCAGAGGCCCAGCCCAAAAAAGGTTTCTCCACCCCTGCTTTAAGATATCTAAACTCCCTAGGGGCTGCGTCTAGATTGGCATGATTTTCCAGAAATGCTTTTAACAGAAAAGTTTTCTGTTAAAAGCATTTTCGGAACAGAGAGTCTAGATTGGCAAATCTAGATTGGCGTCTACATTTGTGGAAAAGCGTCCGTGCCAATCTAGACGCACTTTTCCGCAAAAAAGCCCTGATCACCATTTTCGCGATCGGGGCTTTTTTGTGGAAAACAAATCTGAGCTGTCTACACTGGCCCTTTTGTGCAAAAGCTTTGCGCAAAAGGGACTTTTACCTGAATGGGACCAGAATAGTATTTCCGCAAGAAGCACTGATTTCTTACAGTAGGAAGTCAGTGCTTTTGCTGAAATTCAAGCGGCCAGTGTAGACAGCTGGCAAGTTTTTCCTAAAAAGCGACTGATTTTCTGGAAAAACTGGCCAGTCTAGACACATCCCCTAGGTATTAATGTGCCCAAGATGCTTAAACTAAGTCCTGACTGTGCCTAATAGCTTGGCAGGTTTTCCTCTGTCTATATTGCCTTTTGAGTCTGATCCAATAGGTGTGCTCAGGTAAGTATGTGCCAGCCTTATATATACTCAGGATTTAGCCTTTATAAAAGTATTGTGATAAACCGAGACCTTGGGAAATACATTATTCTCCAAACAGACAATTAGATCATAAAGAACAAAATTATTACATCTGATATGTGGCATCCCTATTGTCTTCATTACCGAACAATAAATAATATAACGAGCTATCTTGCTAATGAAAATAATGTTTTTGTCTCAAATCTAGAATAGGGCATTGAGAACCAGGACTCTCAAGTTCTATTCCCTTCTTTGACACAGATTCATTGAATGAACTTGTTCAAATATCTAGAGCAGTCCCTGTAAATTATGTAAAATACCAACCTCAGTGAGGGATAAATTTGGGTAGATTAAGTTTGGAATAATCAGAAGAAAACTGCAGTCAAATGCAAATTGCTATCATTATTATCATATGCTCATCTGCCATACATTACTATGACAGCAGCTTTGTCTTTCACCATCTCACTTAGTGTCACGTTTATTTTTTGCATCCTCAGCATGATCAGGCACAATCAGAGCCATCACTGCCAGAGATATCTTCACCACTGTCTTCATAAGTATTAAATAACATCAGGTATATCATTTGACTCCTGGTCAGTACTACCCACCTTTATCACTCCTGAGTTCACTACTTGCCTTAGTATGCTTAATGGAGTCACCATCTCCTCTGTGATTTTACTCTGCTCCAAATCCTGAGACCCTGACTTAGCCTGAGTGTTTAATCTAAGTTAGGACTAACAAAATGCCTATCTCTACACAGCAGCAATATTTCAGAATAACTAGTGTTATTCTAAAATAACAATGTCTGCATCTACACACAAGAAATTATTTTGACATGTAGAAATAATGTCCAGCTGGAGGACGTCTTACTTTGACTCCTGCAACTGTCATTGTACAAGGAGTAAGGGAAGAGTGTTCTAACTTGGACTTTCTGCTGTGTAGACAGTGCCAAAAACTGAATTAAGTTATTTTGACTTAAGCTACGCAATTGCCATAGCTCAAGTTGTGTAGATTATTTCTGATTTAGTCCTGCTGTGTAGATGTACACTCAGTGAGGGATGATTTCAAGCTCACATCAGTGCAACTGGGAATGACTTCACATAGAACCATGAAGAAACACTGTGGAGAAATTGGTTTCAGGTCAGCCTCAGATCTTGCTATACAGGAGAGTTTTGCCTAAGTAAAGATAAAACCAAGCATGGCTCTCAGTATTTGTTCTAAGGATAGCAGCATTTTCTGGTATGTTTCTAATTTGCTTGCAATAATCACACAATTATTTCTTAATGATGGAAGGAAATTGCATCATCTTACCTATGTTATTGCGAGCCTTTCTCCATTCTGAAATCATAGAGAGAAACAACAGACATTGAATTTTAATTCCATATTATACATTTTCCTGCTTCTGAAAATATAATGAAATATATAAGAAAATCTCCCTACGATGCACACACTGAAGAAGTGCGTTGTGCCCATGAAACCTCATGATACTATCTATATATTTGCTCATTTCATATTTTTTATTTTTGTTAGTCTATAAGGTGCTACAGGACCAATTATTTTTAAAAGATTTTTTTAACAAACAGATTTAGTACATCATGCCTGCACATGGGCTTTTCTGAACTCTTCTCATTAAAAACCCGAGTATTAGTTTGAATGAAAAGTAAAATGACTTTGTCTGTCTTGTAAATCAAGACAATGCCTCATTCCATCATGTAACTCACTCTTCTTGGGGCACAGTATAGTTTTATTTCTTACAAAAAACAAATTCCTTCTCCCTCACCTCACTTTTATGCATACCGCAGACCCATTATTATTTTTTATGTTGATGGGTTTGGTGTGGTGTTGCTGGATTCAGGTCAACTAATGATGTAGGTATTGAACACTCTTCACTACAGGGTAGCAACAGAGGTATTACATGGGACCCTCCTCCACCCTAAATTATTCTGGTGGGATGAAAAGCAGCCCATCTTGAAGAGCCCCTGGACTGCCCAAGAGGAACAGTCTTGGTGTGGTTCACTGCCTGGGGAATTGAGGGGCCCTAGTAACTTCAGGGGGCTTCCTTCTTGCCAATCTACCTAGTAAAGTTCTATCACTGGTGTCTTGGCTGCTGGGCCTCCAGGACACTCCATGGTTTCATTTAAGGCTGCAACCCAATCACCAATTACTTCATTTTTGAGGGATCTCACAGCTAATTGGGAGACCCCCAGAATGGAGCCTGGATACTGGAGGCTATAGTGAAGGAGCTTCCAAATCACTTTAACCCCTTGTCATGATATCTTGTTCCCTTTTACCATGATGGATCCATGAGTGAGCTCAATTGCTCCTACCCAGCTACTAAACAGACAAATGTTATTCAGTGAAAATATAACTAGAGTTGTAGCTTTGACTTTCACTAGATAGTTAAGGAGGGCACACACATACAACACCAATTCAAACAGAACAGCCTAACAATGGGAGACCTAGACAAATTGGAGGACTGGGCCAAAAGAAATCTGATGAGGTTCAACAAGGACAAGTGTAGAGTCCTGCACTTGGAACAGAAGAATTCCAAACACTGTTATAGGCTGGGGACTGATTGGTTAAGCAGGAGTTCAGAAGAAAAGGACCAGGAGATAATAATGGATGAGAAGCTGGATAAGAATCAATAGTGTGCCCTTGTAGCCAAGGAAGCTAATGGCACATTATGGTGAATTAGGAGGAGCATTGCCAGTAAATCTAGAAAGACAATTATTCCCTTTTATTTGGCACTAGTGAGGCCACATCTGGAGTATCCTGTCCAATTCTGCCCCCACCACCAACTACAGAAAGGGTGTGGATGCATTGGAGAGGGTCCTGCAGAGGGCAACCAAAATGATTAGGAAGATGGAGCACATGACCTCTGCGGAGACACTGAGGGATCTGGGCTTGTTTAGTCTGCAGAAGAGAAGAGTCGGGGGGATTTGATAGCAGCCTTCAACTTCCTGAAGGGGGGTTCCAAAGAGGATGGAGAGAGACTGTTCTCAGTGGTGACAGAGGACAGAACAAGAAGCAATGGTCTCAAATTGCAGTGGGGAGATCTAGGTTGGATATTAGGAAAAAATGTTTCCCTAGGAGGGTGGGGAAGCACTGGAATGGATTACCTAGGGAGGCGGTGGAATCTCCATTTCTAGAGGTTTTTAAGCACAGCTTGACAAAGCCCTGGCTGGGACAGATTGACAAAGCCCTTGCTGGGATGATTTAGTTGTGGTTGGTCCTGCTTTGGGCAGGGAGTTGGACTCGATGACTCCTGAGGTCTTTTCCAGCCCTAGGATTCTGTGTTTCTATTATAATAAATCTAAGCTTATTATGAGCTTGGGAATACGTGTGTAAGCTGATGTTTTGGAAGAAAAACTGCTCAGTTTGGATAATAATGTCTAAGAAGTTAGAGGAAACCATAAGATGATAGCTGGGTAGCTGAAGTGAAATGCAAGAGACTTCCATAAAGTAACCTTATATTACTATATTAGGATGGCATACATGTTAAGAAGTTAATAGAACTATCCACATGACTTAACTGTGCTTGGGGAAACCCCTGCAGCTCAGTGGCATTATTTGTGTTTATGTTTGTGTACTCCTAACTGTGCAAGGGGAAACCCCTGCAGCTCAGAGGCATTATTTGTGTTTATGTTTGTGTACTCATATCAGCATGGAGAAGCTACAGTGTGGCTGAGAACCTGGGAGAAAACTATAGTTCAATTTAAAAAAAAACTATCTTTTCACAGCTGTATGTAAAATTTAAAATAAATGTAATTTTGTCTACACAAAATGATTTTTCTAAATCCTAACACACACCATAGCATGAAAAAAACCATCATGAAAAATTATCATGGAAATATTATGCAAACTCTTTACAAGCTTTCAAAAATAAAATGAACAGAAGAGGAGGTATGGCATTGTGGAATGTCCATACTGTACAATGATTCTGAAAATCAATCCTTCAATTTTAACCCAAAATAGAATTAATATAAATATTTCAGGTGATAAATCAAGTCAATGTGAAAGAAAGTCATTTCAGTTCTGTTATGGAATGAAAAAGGATGTGCTAAGTAATTCATTCTCCTTGGATTGAGCAAAGGCAATGAAATGAAGAAATGACTCTTTTAATTTATTAATATTCTTCTGAAGAATAGTAGAAGTGGAGTAAGAAAGGGGAACTTACCTAATTCTTTCTGGCATTGCTCTGAAAAATAATAGTGGGATTTTAATTAGAAATTGGGTGAACAGAAGGAGCTGCTCCTGAGCAACATCTGAGTCATCCACTTCCAGTCTTCTCATTCATCCTCTTTTTTATAAACTACATTTTAATTATCACCATGGTTCTGGAACAGCTCAGAATCTTACATTGCATAACTAAATTAAGAGATCCAATCTGGAAACTCATCCTAAAACCTACTGACTTTTGTTTACAATTTCCCTGCTCCTAGCTACCTATTACAACAGACACCACAGTGATAGGTTTGAACCCTCAGTCTGTGCCAAGTACATGATACCACAATCTGCTGGTAATTTGTACTCAATGTGATTTGTACAATGTGTGTACTCATTACAATGTGTGTTGCATCTACACTCTAGCTCCTTGTCCAGGCAAAGGTTATCCACACTTGCAGCTCTTGCATCAACACAGACAGCTGTGCACTGTGGGTAATTTTCCCAGCTGACAGAGCAACATCATGAGTAGCTTGGTGAGGGTTCCACCCTGATGAATATCAAAGTAACAGCAGTTTGTTCCCTTTCTCCTCCCTTCAATCTGCCTGCTGATGTATTCCTTATGCAGGATAGGACAGGAGCATTCCAATGATTTACTCTTTGTTCCCCAAAGGAATCAGCATACTCGGCTGTTAGGTTATGTCTATACTGCAGGATTTTTTCAGGATACTGCAGGTATTCTGGAAAAACTCCACCGCATCCAAGGAACATGTTTGCTCTTCCGCTTTTTTTTTTTTGCAGAGGAGTAAAAACACATTCTTTCAGGGAGCCCTGCATACCTCATTTCACAAAGAATAAGGGATCCTTTGAAAAAGGAGGCTTTTCCGCCATTTGGCCCCATCTAGAGGGGGCAAAATGGTGGGAAAGCCTCTTCTAGAAAAGTGATTGGAAAAAGCTACAAAAATTGAGGTGTGCAATTTGCATAGCTTTTTCTGAAGAAAAAAAAAAGCTACAGTGTAGACCTAGCCTTAAATACTTCCTGGAGTTTTGAAATGGGTGGAGCACATGCCTGCAGGATAGCAGATATAACAAAACTCTGAGCAGAGGGATCACTGTAGACTTTGTAGGATAAAACCAGAAGCCACTTCTGTTGACAAACCCAACAGCTTTGTATACACTGGCAATTTGTTGATAATAAAAGGAAGGAAAAAGAAAGGTCTCTCATAGGGGTGGAATTATTTTGTTGCCCAAACTAGGCATGTTTCCCAACAAAAGAAGCATTGCAGGGTGTGCACACTCCCCTTTTTTTCATTAAAAGGCAGTTTTTGGCATCAAAACCTCATAGTGCAGACAAGGCCAGACAAGACAAGATCTCTTCCAAAAAATGGTTCTTCAGAAAGAAGCCTGTAGTCTAGACAAAGCCATTATGAAAACCTACTAGGGTAATTAAGCACTGGAACAAATTCCACAGGAAAGTTGTGAAATCTCTGTTACTGGAGATTTTTAAGAGCAAGTGAGACAGAACCTACTAGAGATCGTTGATGTAGTGCATTATTATGCCTTGACTGCAGTGGACTAGACTCAATACTGAATTTATAATTGTGCCAAAGCTGTAATGGTACAGGGCCTGCACAGAGCAGGGGCCCCACATGCCCAGCCCACTCTCTCCCCCTCTGCTGCAGCCCAATGGTTGTACCACAGGCTCTCCTCTCCAGTCCCTCTGTGACGTAGTGGGGGTACCTGGCTGGTTTCTATGCTGCTGGCTCTGGGGTAACCCCCACTGGCTGCCGTGGGTACCACGACCCAGCAAAACAGGATGAGTCACTATGCCAAACTGGTTGAACCAGATACCCCCCATGGAGAGGAACAAAGGAAGGTGGAGGCTGCCCTGGCTGGGGGGCAGGGCTGGAAGAGAGTGAGTTGAGTTGCGGGCTGGGAGCATGGAGGAGACAGCCTAGGGAAAGGGGCTGGAGTTGAGGGGCCCAGTCTCCCCCATCTCAAGGGGGCCTGAGGCATCCTAGCCCAGCTCTGTGACCAGATTCCATCTGTGCTGTGCTGTATCCTGGAGAGGCAATAAACTTCCTCTATTCCACCGGCTGGTGCAGTCTGTTTGTGCCATTTCGGGGTGCAGGAGACGGGGGACCCCCAACGCGCCGTCACA